TACGGATTGCAGTATACGATTAAATTTTATGCAACTTATTATATTACTCTTTTTATATAATCTTTAATATTTATATATAGTAATTTCATTTTCTTTCATTTTGCAAACATTTGAAAAAAAAAACTTTATTTTGATTTTTTAGAACCCCACTCGAGTCTCACCATTAAACACATAAATATTAGCAGAAATTAATTGAGTTTTAAACACTAAATTAATATTAAAAAATGAGTGAAGAACCTTTAGATTGATAGTTTGGAGAATAGAAAAAAAAACAAATAGTAGTGAGAAAACGATATACATGACCCAATTCTACGTTTGATTAGATCGAGAAAAACATGTCAATGACTTTAGTCATTTGGTTTTTACTAACACCACCTTACGTTACCGTGAACATCTCGTGAGCGTTATAAATCAATTTGCATAAAACAAATTCTAAAAAAATGAAAATGTAATTTTGTTGAAAATATCAATTAAAATGATTTTTTTTTTGGCCCAAGCATGATTGGGAGAGTGTATAATTTTGTTTTTTTTAATCTAAGAGAAAGTTTATAATTTGCTCCCTCATTTCACACTTAAAAAGGAAATGTGAAACATTTTTTTGACCTCCTCCGTGTATACTAATTCAACGAAATAAATCCAATACTTATAGCTTTCTATGATCCGAACATCACAAAATTTTTGTTTTAACTATAAGTATGTGAAAAGTAAAAATGACATTCATTGTGAACCCTAGAATTTTCTTTTTTACTTTGTTGTCAACCAATGTAGGGAGTATATCCTTCTAATAACTGCAAATTGATGAAGTTCGAAATTTCTTACAAGTAATCGCAAAGTTTATTTTTATGTATAGATAGGTATTATTATTGGATAGGCGAGTGTGAATCATGTTAACATTCTTAGATAATACTTTTAAGGAACACTAACGTTAAAAAACGAAGACAAACAAGACCATACTAACGTCGGAGCATTCTACGTTCGAGACTCTTGTCTTTAACAGATTTAAGACAAAGACAAAAAGAGAGAAGTAAAAACAGAGACAAGGATTAGCTCTTGGGAAACAAGATATCACTTCACTTAGATTCTCATAGCATCGAGGTAAGTTTTACCGTCGAGTTCACGGGAAAATAAGTCTTTCAAGTAATCTTTAGCTACCAGGCTTATGAAATTTGCGCCTTTTTTTTTTGCTTTTCAAAGATACTTTTTGCCGGAGTAATTTCTTTATTCAATCCCGGATTATGAAATGTCGCAATAGACAACCTCTCTTTCTCTAAGTTCACCACCGCGCGATGCTCCATGCTTTTGTATGTCCCGTTCGTTATGATCTACATTAGCAACACACATCATCAAAATATTTACAATTACAAATGTTGTGGTGGAACAAAAAGCTATACATATATGGTCTAAATTTGTCACGGTTTGTCGAAAATCATTGACATCCAACTCATATTCAATTAACAAGAAATCAGTTTCATCAATATCACACCATTACATTTTAGACCTTTTTATATTTCAAATGTGAAATTTCTACACGATCATCTCTAGGTTGTCCAAAAAGGTTAGGATCAAGCCCGGTCCAATCCGTATATAGGACCAGACCTGAACCAAGTTATACTATGTCCAAACCCGCCATTTTTGTTCTTTTGGGCGGTTAACCACTAGTTATCCCGTATAGCCATAGGGCCGCGCGGACCAATTTAATTTGGCGTAAGAATCAAAGTAAGGTCAAATCACCAGATTATAAAATCCTGTCAGTCAGGGGTTAGCCGAACCAAATTGGGTTAGCACATCACAACATCTCTATTTATATTGATTCCCCATGCATTATCCCTTTCCCTTCATATAATATGGCTTACCTCTAAGACGTCTCCAATATTGACAATGAAAGCATTTGGGAGAGGTTTGACAAAGACCCACTTGCCATTTTTCTTGATTTGGAGACCATCAACTTCATTCACTTGCAATAACATGGTGAATCCTGCGGCATCGGAATGCGGAGTTAGACCAACAACCTTAACGCGGTTGTGGACAAGGTGGATAGTAATTCATCCTTATACTCTGCATCATACCATCACCAAATATTTCTTTTAATTCCTCTGGTTTGGTCTGCACGGCTTTCGCCATTTTCGATATTATAACCTTAGCTACACTATTCACTTGAGCGGAATATATCTCTAACGTATCTCTGAAGGACATAAACCAAAATGTAAAAATAGAGACTTTGTGGAGTTAGTTGAGAATGTTAACATATTTTGATGCATGCAAAACCTAATGGGAAGAGGTAGCTTGGGGAGCAAGTGAGGCTTTCGTAATTGAACAGGTTGCACTATAATGAAGAACAAATCTGCCCAGTCAAGTTTCTGATCTTCTGAAACCACAAAAGCTTTTCCAGACCCTTCCATTTCATGTGGTTGCTGCCACAGCTTCCTCTTCTCTTTCCATAGGAAGGTTGAAGAAATCTCGAGTCTTCGACTTGATCTTGTCCAAAAAACTTGAGTCGATTCCATGGTTTACAAGCTGTAGATGACCATAAAGACATAAGCACAATGATCAATATTGAAACAGAAAGTGTTATGTATACTCCCTTTTGGGTTTAACATGGTAATAAAAACAGAGTATTTTGGGGACAATTTATTAAAAAAGAGAGAGTAGATTTCTGATACTTGCATGAAACAAAAAAAAAACAAGTTTAATTAATAAGCTCCACGTGAAGTCTAACATAGGTTATTTTGTAAAATAGTAAAGTAGGATACTTTAATTTACCTGAAAAAATCCCCATTCTTTGCAAGCGAAGTCGAGTTTCTCAACCTCAGAGTAGTCCAAGGCGGTCGAAGAACATAACCGTTTCATGTCGATGATTGGGATCTCGGTATCTAGACCAGAATCATCTGCGACTTCAGTTTTGTCTTGATCAGACCGGATATATACCAGAGAGGAACGGTCGTGATCGTCTTCTCCTTAACCATCTCTTGAACAGAAGGAACTATAATAGAGCTCCATTGGGTTTCTCCTTTGGCTTCCATAGCGGCTTTCTTGTTGGATGAAAGTGAGACAGGAAAAAATGATGTAGATAAAGCTAAAAAGCCCAAGTTTATCCGATTTATGGAAAACTAGTTATGGTTTTATTTGAGCATATGTGTAAAACTACAATGAATGATCATGATCGCACACATGCACCCATAAAAAGTTACGTTTAAGGAAGTCTCAAGCGGTTCACGCCAATCAACAACTTTCCTATAAAAAAATTTGGATTTACTTGCAATTGTATGACTATATGTAGAAATTGTATAAGGACGATCACATAACATTTTGTAGAGATCATTACAACTAATTATATTTCCGTTTATATACACACAACTTGTTTACTTTTTCTTTGATTGTCCTTTTTTTTTTGTGTAAACTCTTATAGAAATAGCCAATAACGTTTTCATTATAGTTAGCTGTTGAATTACAATAACGTCATTTTATCAAATTTTCTCTCTCTTAGGATCACATATACATACATATTATCAAGCATATTCTTTATTGAAATGACGGAAAAGCCCCTAGGCGGTGCCGGTGCGTGAAGGACCGAAGAAGGTGAGTCACATAAAAAGAGTAACTGACCTTAACATGGCAACGCGGTAAGAAAGTCTGTCACCACGTTAAGACCCACTCATTTATTCCGTCATGTCTCACGTGCAAATATTCAATGTTGAGCTGTATATTTTGATTTTGA